TTATATAATATATAAATTTGAAACAGTTTTGATTAATTGTTGATTAAAAAATTAACAAAAATAAAAATTTTAAGTTTCATCTTTTTTTTTAGTTTTTCTAAAACTATTGATCCAATTTGGATAAAACTTTTTTAATAGAAATAAAAATTTTTTACAAAATAAAAAAAAAATTATTAGAATTTAATTACTAGTTATTGAAATAATTACAATTTATTAAAAAAAGCAAGTAGTTATTTTTTATATTGATTTTTTTAATAAATATTTATGGATTCTTTATAATTTTTTCTTTACAAAATTGGTAAAAGCTATATCTTTAAAATAAAAAAAAATTTAATTAGATTATATTAGTAAATTTTTTAAAATTATTATTAATTAAATATTTATATTTAAATATAAAAAATTTTTGATCTATTGATTTATTTTAAACAAATATATTACCAAAATATTCCTCTCAGCTAGAGGATTTTAGCAAAACTTGTTTTATCAAAATCTGATTACTAGATAACAAAATATATATATATATTTTTTGAATTTAAATGATCCTGCTTCTATTTATTTTATAAACTTACTATACGATTATTACATAAAGTAACCACTGACATAGTGTAATGCTCTATTCTAATAGAAACTCACCAAGCATACTAAGTACTGCCTAATGCGACCTGCTAAAACAACTATTAGTCTCACAAAGAGATCCAAAACTCGCTTCAGATTTCGTATTGACAAAGGATACCCTCTTGATCATTTGACCGGATGTTGTATACCACATTAGGATCTCTTTTTTCCCTTCTAATTCTTTCTTCTTCTCAAGGGGCACGAGACAAAAGGGAGAAATTTTAAACAAATAGTAACAAAAACAACCAGAAAAAAAGAAAAAACAGAAAAGAAAAAAGAAATACTGATTGTGAAAAAGAAAAAACATAAAAAGAAATCTAAAACCCTGAAGGCACTATTATAGCCCATGCGTGGCTGATAAAAATTATATAACAAATGCACTATTTGTATATCTCTACTATAAAGCTATGCCTTAATGTTAAATTTACTTTCTGACCTTCTCACCAAATCCAGATAGCTCTATTGCCCAAGGGTTCCCAGACCGAGTCCCGTGAAGTAGCGCCATATTTGTCCGTAAACAAACACATGGTTGCATTTTACTAATCTGTCCAGATTTGGGAAGTAAACAATATCGATCTTTTGGAGAGGGTAAGCTAAATCCCCCACTTTTTGCAAAAAAAATTTGGAAGGCCGGCAAGAAAGCGGAAGTGAGTAAAAGAGGAGTCACTTGGCTAATTAAAAGAGTATGGCTTGAGAATAGCAAGTTCTTCACTGTTCTCCGGTTAATTTGCAACAGATTGCTTTATCAATAGAAGAAAACCACAATCCCACCAAAATTTCGTATACAAGGGTACACTTCTCCAGCCAATTATCTTGTATAAAGACGCTTTTGGCTTGCATATCAAATATATAAAGGAGTCCCCATAAAGCAGAGAAGGTTGACCTTTATAAAAACTGCACTGTTGTCTACCCACTACAGGTACTATTCAACGCTCCAGTATCCAAATTTGACTTTTCTTTCATGAAAAATTTTGGTCCAAGTGATTGTCAGAAAGAGTGTGTGATAACAAAATACTTAAAAATTTGTAATTTTTTATATTTTTATATTAAAAATAGTTAATTTATAAAGTTATATAAATTTTTATATTAATTAAATTAGTAGTTTACTTAACTATAAACAATTTTTTATAAAACTTGTTTATAGTTTTTAAGTAATCTTTTAAAAACTACTAATTCAATTAATATAAAAAATTACAAAATTTTAAATATTTTGTTATCTAGTAATCAGATTTTGATAAAACAAGTTTTGCTAAAACCCTCTAGCTAAGAAGAGTATTTTGGTAATATATTTGTTTAAAATAAATCAATAGATCAAAATTATTTATGTTTAAAAATAAATATCTAATTAATAATAATTTTAAAAAATTTACTAATATAATCTAATTAAATTTTTTTTATTAAAACTCTCTCTGTCTATCACTTGTACACAAACTTCCCCCAACTTAATTATTTTAAAACACTTTATAACTTTATTTTTTACTAAGTTAATCTTAGTTTTGCTCTTAAATAAACTTATTTCTAACAAAAAAAAATATATAATACTTAAATATCAAATTTAAAGATTCTAAACTCACAGAGAAATGGTCATCTGGCTTATTTTCTCACATATTTCTTAATAACTCTAAAATGGCCATCTAAACATATTTTCCAAGCTTAGAAAAACTTAAAGAACACACAATTTCTGTTATAACAAGCTAAATTTCATGCTTGTAGACCTAAAACTGACAAAAATATACTCAAAAAACTTCTTAAACTCTCTTAAAGTATTTTTTTTTTTTTAAAAAAGTTCTTTTTTGCAAAAAACTCTATAGGCGTTTTTTGTGCAACACTAACTATTTTTAGACCTCTCAAAATTAGTGGTTCTCTACTTATTACACCAATTCTATTTTAATTTTTAATTAAAATTTAATATTTACAAAAAAGTAAATATTTAACTAAATTACAGTTACGTGATACAAATTGTGCCACACTAACTACACCAGCCATGGTGATACAAGCCACAGTTACACAAGCCACAGTATCTAGAAGTTTCTATAGCATAATGTTACATGAAACAAAAATTATACCATTGTGAAGCTAGATATAATCCTGTTTCTAATTTATCAATAAATTTGTTCTACCATGCCTACTTTAACAAGCCAAAAACCAGACACATTAGAACTTGATTATTTTTATTAAAAACATCAAGCAACTTATAGTGTAGCAATCTATGAAGATAATCCAGGAAATGTTTTACCAATACTAAAAAATTTTCGACCAACAGCTTGTTTCCACAAAGAGCTTCGTACTGTTCAAAGAGTTACACATTTTTTTTCTGCTCCACTCTCAACTACTATAATTACCTGTATTTGTAAAAGATATCATACCAAATTTATAGCTCAGGATAACCAAATCTATGATTTTAAACACAAGATAGACCCAACTACATCAAGTCACCAAACCAAAAAACTTATCTAACAACTCAATAATACAACCCAAACTATTCCAAAATCTCCAATCCCTCAACAAAAACCTCTTAATGAAATACCAACTACTCCTTCTCCATATCCTCATACTCATACATGCCCAATATGTGATTAACTAATTAACTGCAAATCAATTAATGATCAGTACTCACCTCAAAGTAGTACAATTAGACAAGGCAAAAACTACTACCACTCTACCTGTGCTGCTTCTACCTCTTCCTCAGTCTCTTTTATCTCTGCACTACCTAATGAAGTTATAAGACAATGTATAGAACAATTATCAAGATCTACATTAATTGAACAAAATTACTACCCAAACTACTTCTACAACTTCTATTATTATATCTCAAAACTCACAACAACAACTATATCAATCCAAATCTAAACATCTACAACAACATCAACAACAACAACAACAACAACAACAACAAAATAAACTAGTAACTTATTTAAAAACTAAAACCGCTTCCTTATTTAAATCACAAGCCAAGCCACCTTCTATATCTAGCTTGGTAGATATTTTTCAAAATTTAGTTAGACTCAAAAACCTCAATCACAAGTTTAAAATAACAAACCAAACCCTCTTAACAATCTTTTTCCACTTACTTCAATTCAAGAACTACAATCTAACACTGATATGGAAGTCGATCATCCACTTTCTCCTCCAAAACTTTCTCATATTAATCAATTTTTTGCTAACACTAACTCTACTTAATAATCAAATTTAACTCAAACTAACTCTTCTAAAAGTACTAATTTATCTCCAACTACATATAAAAACAAAGAAGCTATTAAACATATACAAAATTCATCTAATATCTCTAAACCTAACTCAAAACAACCAATTGAATCTAAACCTAAAGCTAAACCAAATC